GGAAGAGCAGTATCTGGAACAGACAGAAAAAAAAAAAAGTATAGTGGCAATTTATCTTTTTAGTTGCAAAAATCAACCACTTAAGAGGACATAAAATGGCAATGAACTGAATTATAGCCTAAGCTAGCCACTCACTATGGAGTTTGGTTTGATACTGACAATGCAACATGAACTGCAGATTTTTAAAAATAATTTTCAAAACCATCAAAGTTGAGAACTAAGCACTCTTCTGGTAAATAACATCAAAGTTTCTTCTAGGTAACTTATTTCTTGTTGTTGGTACTTAGGAGTCTATGCTATCGTCGGGTATTTCTCAATTAAGATGAATGAAACTTAAGTACTTCAACGGACATTATTAAAACAATAGACAAAACTAGAAGTATTTCAGAACAACGCTTTTCCACAGGCCTGTGATAATACATGGTGATGAAGTTACTCTCAAATCCTAAGTAGATGAAATCAATATATTGAAAAATGGAGCTGAAGTGATGCAGTGTGAAGGTACTTGCTACGTTCACGTTGAGTAAAGCCACTTCTTTCTTTTTCCCTAGCCTGTTCTGCCACAGAGGATTATGATACTGTAGGCAAAGTTTTAATCCTTGAACGGTTTAAGCAAGCCAACTTAGAAACCAGTGAATTACTGCAACTACCTTCTGTTCACACCACAAAATCAGTTTATTTCTAACTTGCCCTAATTAGGTAGATGCAACTTGTGGGCATACTTCAGGCATAATTTGAATCTGTCAGCAATGCATGCGTGCCACTATAAAGTGAACGTTGTGCAGATTCAGCATCAGCACAAAGCCAAGCTTTAGATTTACCAATATAAAGAAAAAGCCAAACAAAAGAACAATAGCTACATATAATTATATGCATGAATGGGAATACGAAATTGGATCAGATCTCTGTAAATGAAAGCCTTTGAGCTTAGGGACTCATGCGCTCTTTCAACTTTTGCTGTGGTCACACATGCAGAAAATTAGCAGTGGCCACAGCTCCTCCAGACGCAGTGGTTACAAAAGTTAAATATTTGCCTGGCAGCCACATGTGAAGTCTCCAGTGCCTCCTTAGGGAACGACTGCTCTAAACAACCCCAGGCACACTCTGCCACGCTGAACATCACGGTCAGATCTGGGCTAGAGAAGATCAGCCGAGCAGCCCCAGCAACAAACCAGCTCTGCGCACGCAACGCGTGTACCTGTAACCAGCCACCGCGCTACTAAAACTGTTAACTGGGAAATTTCTTTGCAAGGGAGAAGCACACCT